AATAAGAGCTTGGTAAGTGATGCGCGTTTTCAGAAGTGACTAGTAATCTTCGATACCCCAACTGCTGGGTGTCCAGCTTCAGAAATAATTTTCAATTGATAAATATTTCTGAAGCTAGAGCTCTCCGCTAGGTCTCAGATTGGGTACTCAACTGTAAAGCACCAAAAATTAGTCATACAGAATTTTTCTTACATCAGTAGATATTGGAAAAAAATAAGGATCATTTCTGTTGAAGTTTTTATTTTCTGCCTTTCCAACATTTTAAGTAGTCCCTACCCCAACTGTTAGTGAAGGGGAGGAAGAAAAGACTATCTGGAAATGTGGGCTTGATTCTGCAAATCCTTACTTCAGACAATATCCTAAATGCTTCTGTAGAAGTTTTAAACACTTAAGGAATTGCAGAATTGTGCTCCTTCATGTGAATTGCTGGAGTTTCCCCCACCACATTCAACACAAGTTTTTCCAGAAAGTTACTGTTTTGGTTGAAGATATTTGATCTTTTATATATATATTTATATACTTAAGGATTTTATATACCCAGTGAATCGGAAGCATACATCAAATGTAAATACATATCTAGGGTGCGCGCTGCACGTTATGTCCATATTACAAGCCTGTGAATAGTAGTCACTGCACATGTACCAAAACCAATTTTCAAGGCCTATATATTGCCATTTTGATCTAGATGATACAAATCTCTTTGTCAGACCAGTTCTGGGGGCTAGCAGTACTGCCATAATTTATTTAAATTACTGTGTACAAAGTGAATTAAAAAAGCAGGTGCCATAAAAATTCCTCATTTACTTTTCATAAAAGAAGTTTGTGAAAATATGTAATTTGAAACAATTATTTGAAAGTTCAGACCAGGCCTTCCTATTGAAGAGCATTGAAAACCAAGTTATAAGCGCCTGAAAACAGAGGTATAGAACGGACACCCTTACAATGACCTATTAACTATTAAACAGTTGCAGCATCTGGATACCAATGTAGTTCAAATGATAGATGTGAAGACAAATCAGAACAAGTGTACCACTACCATACAATTTTTCTTTTGTGAACATACAGTTTTTTCCCCTTGAGGTTCTTTGAGTAAGGTCTCTTGCCAAGAGTTCAGACACAGCAATCAGAAAACAGAAGCGAACAGAAAACAAGTCCAACTAAGTCATTAGCTCCCGCTATACGAAGAGTAACTGAGACACTTTAATCCAAAGAAATCTTGAAGGTGACATACTTCATAAATGAGCAATTTAGAAAAAAGCATCTCTTGTTTCTCTCAAGTGCTGTTAGAACAGAGCAATCTTTTCATTAAAAATCGGGAAGATGCAGTCATTTTATAATGTAATTCAACATGTACAAAGTCAAACTATCAAAGAGTTGATTGTTCGGCACTGATCTTCCTACAAGATTTCAACACTAAGGGTTTTTTTGCTAGTTTGGTGATGTCATTTTCCATTTTTAAATCAAGAATATGCTCAGGTTTAGAAGACTCAATAACTAGAAGACAGCCAACTGCGGTGAAACCGAGTTCTTAATTCTATCACCCCTCTGGTTAGATTAACGCACCACACACATTAATTACAGAGCAGACCTACTGTGCACTTTGTGTTGCTGATAGTCACACGAGCTGCATGCAAGAAAGCAAATAGCCATCATTTATCTTCGTGATACAAAAGAAGTCCATTCCTCCACTCGATTTATAGGTTCTTCCCCTCACCAATGCTACTTAAACTGCACATAGAAATCAATTCACTTTCTTCCCAATCAGTTATATGCTGAAGAGTTTGCAGTTAAAAAAGGCAAAGCTTTTAGCGACAACCTGTGTGGAATAAACAAGAGTTTGTTGAATAAATGCTTTGTATGTTCAGCTAATAGCTGCTTGTTCTTGACTTTTAAATCCATTATGTTAAAAAAATCCCTGGCCAGTTTTCACTCTGTTTCTCATACGGTTTGAGCTTTTGGTTAGGCCAAAGCCACGCCTGAAGATCACTATTCAAAGACATTTAACTTCTGATCTCACGATGAGTGCAGAAGAGCACGAGATTGTAAGGACACCAGGAGGACATTTCCACTCTGCAGTCACATATACATACTATAACAGCATGAACCCTGTGCGGCAGTCAGCTGGCCTCACATCAGAAAATGTTGTCTTTCCAAATAGGAGACTACATTTTCCACCAAGCAGGAAGCCTTAGAAATGAGGGAAATACGAGTTTGAAAATGTTAAGACTTTCTAGGGCATTTTTTGCAGTTTTTACTTGCGCAACATTCCCACTGGTCTAAGGGGGAACTCTGGATCCTGGGGGATGAAGCTGTCTCAGGTGCCAAAGGTGGGTTCTTAGAAGACAGAAAAGTTGTTTTTGAAAAGTGACCTACAGAAAGTAAGACTTGGTAACAATCTGTCATTCCGCATTTTTAAAATGCAATGCTCCTGATGTAAGCTTCAGTGCTCCAATTCTGCTTCCTGGTCTTTCCTGCTTTTACATCACTCCCTAACTCAGTACTCAGTTTTTTTCCTGGTGGGTATATTCAGTATTGTAACTCTCTTGTATTTTCCTACACTCACAATTACTTGCCCACTAAGTATTTAACATTTGGGGTTGACTCTACAAGCAAGAATGTTTGCTACAGCATTGATCAGGTACTAAAAGGCTCCATCAGGCAGCAAAAAAGATTATGGCACTGCCAAAACAAATGAGAAACCATCGGTTGCACAGTGTTGCTGCACGTGAATCAGGCAGTTTGCACTGCAAGTATTAAAAACGCTCAGCAATTACTAACATTGAAAAGTGGAAGCCATATGTTCTTGCTTGTTTTAAAACACAAGTATATGAGAAATGTAGGAACACTACATTTATGCATCACCTAAGCAAAGAAAAACACTAGAGTAGCTTAAAATGCTACATATGCTTTTAAGAACTCATTCTAAACTTCTGTGGCTTTCCACTACCCTGTTTTAATATCTGCTCATGAAAACTGTTAATAGTTAACATCAGTAAGGTGGAAAAATAGTTAATCTTTAACGGAATTAAGTTCTCATTTAGAAAGAGTGATTTCTCATTTTTTTAAATCACAAGCTTGCTTAGCACAGCAGATAATGAGCGAGTTCCATCTTTTTGCGTCTCTGCTGATTCTAGTTTTATAGCAGGATATGTGCACTGCTAGAACCCAAATGAGTAAGAGTCATGACGTGGTTCTGACAGAACTTGTGGAGGAAGAGGTGGGGAAACAAAAACAAGACTTTCAAGGCCAGAAGGTAGGTAATTTTTGGATCTAGGTTTTCTAGAGAGGTATTTAGTAAAGGCCTAATGCCGGTTTTATTACAAGAAAACAGAAGTGCTTAATGACTGACTAGTAAATACAATAAAATGGAAGGGAATCAGGTGGGGCAGGAAAGGAGAACTCACTCCTTGGTGGCAGCAGCAGTTTTGGTGCATCCATTGCCGGCAATGGACATAAACACCAGTCAAAAATCCAAATCTCTGAGCAAAAGGATTAATAGATGTGACCTTTTCGGATTTCAGTGTTTGGCAGATCTGTTTGAGCTGTCTGTGTGCTACAACGTGTACAAATGCTACAGCCTGCATCTTAATTCAGAGTAAAGAGAAAACTGAATGCTACCCAAAACAAATTTCAGCTCTGCTCTTTATGTGCCACATGTTGTTTGTTTTTTTTTTTTTCCTTGAATAAAAGCACGTATCACTTCATGCCCACTCAAAAGTTGATGAGATGTCTTGGAGTCGAGCGTTTTCTCTCAGAAACACTGCCTTCTTGAAATCAGTTGGTCACATGACAATTATTAAAATGTATTTTAAGAAAATTCTAATGGCCAGAGGCCAACACTACATTCAAAACCTGCTAATACATCCAGGCAGATAAGTAAAATCAAAACAAAAACACACACAAACCCCAAACAGAAAACCTCCAAAAGGAAAACTGTTCCATTTGTTTACTTCAATTTGAAGTAGATATTAAGGACATGAATGGACCAGTCACGGTTTATTTGAAAATCCCTCAATCCTCTGATGCACTGTCATTCTGTGTACAATTGTTTGTACAAACATATTTCATTCAGAGTATTCCAACAGATGGTGAAACTCGAGTGGCTGGGCAGCTACCGCCGGGTTCTTTTGTCTGTAAAAGTCTGCAGCACATCAAGATGCCATCCAACTTACAGACTAACTTCACCCTCCCACTAGACACTGTGCATCGAAGACCATCTGATGAACTATGCGTGAGATAGCTTTATAAATTCATGGCTAGCGTGTTTCGACTGTCAAAAACTTCATTACAGTACACTTTACTGTACAAACACTTTAAAGGATGTTTATTAGGAAAGTCTGCAAGTCATAATGGATAGTAGAGTTCTTGTTTATGGTACCTTCTTGGCCTCTAATAATTCTGTTTGCCTCCAGTATTAAAATCAAACTGCTTCCATGAAGGTGATTACTAAAATGAGCTATGGTATGTTAACCTACAACTCACAAAATGCGACAGTACAGACATTATTTTTTTTTAAACTGTCTGGTAAGTTGTAATCTAAGTTGTGAACATTTAAATATAATATATATCTCATATGAAAAAGCTAAAGCACAAGTGCTTCTGCACACCCCC